AGGGGCGGTGGAGGCGGGAGAACGTGGGCAGGCAGCGGGGTGTGGCGGGAAGGGTCAGAGGTGAATAAGAGACGGGTCAAGGGAAGGGGGGTACGATGGGAGGGAAGAGGGGGGTTCGGGCGCCGAACGAGAATCCGCATCTGTCGGTGTACCAGATGGCGCTGTGGAGGCGGAGGTGGATGGTGCGGCGGCAGCGGGTGGACGAGGCGCGGGTCAAGTGGGCTGCAATTGTCGAGGAGAGACGAGGGCAAAGGGCCGCTGCGGCCAGGGTAATCAAAGTGAGGTTGCACTGTTCGCGGGAGGGCTATAAGACTTTCATCCGCGAGGTCGACATCAAGGGTGTTAGGTCTGATCAGCAGGAATGAGCCGAATGGAACATGAACGTGATTTTGTCCAACAAGCTGTCATTGAAACGCTTTTAGGAAATCATTGCCCTACGTACAGGAGATTTGCAATCGACCCTGGTAGGAAGACAAGGCAGGAAGAATTGAATGAATGGCACGCCAGCTGCGGGCCGGCCCCAGGGTAAGGAAAGAGACTGGAAAGGAGACTGCCCAAGAAGACAGATCATGTCTCCTTCCATGGGAATCACAACTCGAGAAACCGAAGAACAACGCCGAGTCTTTCGTACCTTGAATGACCAAACAAGCTATGCGGATATCAATTGACCAATAAAAACCAGATATACATCGATGAAGTGTCCGTGTACCACAAGAAGTCAAAAAGAAGGCATGTTTCAAAGTGAAGGAGAATTCAGCTCGAAGGAAGACGCAAAAAGTGTTTCTGACACTACCCACGGTAGTGAGATCGTTCCTGGGCACATTCTGATGCGCCAAGTGCATTTTCTGGACAGTACCTGCTGTAGCGACATTATCGGACAAGGCACAATGCGCCTTCAGTCAGCTCGTTACACCTTCTCGTCCGTCCCCGTCATCGCAACATCCTGCGATTCCTCACGGATCGGCTGCTTGACGTCAACTGGGTACTGCTCCCGACGGGACTCAGGCGGTTGCATATCCCCCGGACGCTTGCTGTCCCTCTCTGGGCGCTTCCTGCCCAGTCTTTGGCACCAATGTTCAGCACTAACAAGAGTATCATTGACCACGCCGCTGACCTGCGCCATCATGTCCAAACCCTCCTGCGCCAGCACCAAGATACGGTGAGCGCCGAGTGTGGCGTCTGAGCTGGACGCTGGTGAGTCGGGAGGAGGCTTGGACGTCGAGGCGACCTGGAACCGATGCGGCAGGGAAGTAAGATGGCGACGGACCAGGTTGCGCGCGTTTTCCGGCAGAGCTCCACCGGCATACTTGGAGACGACATCGACGACCTGTTTCAAGGTCGAGAGGACATCCTCCTTGACGGCCTGGATACGCTGCGACAGCAACGAGGCGTCACCCTCGCCGTTCTCCTGCTTGGCGCTATCCCACTCTTTGAGGGCGCCCTGCAGAGCGATGATGGCCTTGCCCAGCCGGCCGTTTGCCCACCGCAGCCAGGTCAGGCAGTACTGCAAACTGCGCAGGGACTCCTCGCTCATGGCGACGCCCAGGCCGGACGTGGAGATCATCAGCCGGCTCTGCCAGGTGGAGGGGCTCTGGTGAGACGACGGCCGGCCGATCTCCTCATAGTTCGGCGACTTGTTATCGTCGTAGGGCGGGAGGGGCTCGGAGTGCGACAGGTCCGAGGAGCTGCGCATGCGCTGGGAGTCCATCGTGTCGTTGTCGTCTGCGAGCCCCTTCTCCACGTCCGCGTCTGGCGGCTGCTGCTTCTCACCACTTACTTTCCGTCTTTTCTTCGCTGGGTCCGTGGAGTTGGATTCGCGCCGCTGCAGTGCCCAACGGAGACCGCTCTCGACACCGGTCTTGCGACCTACGGTCCCGACGGTGTTGGCAACGGGGGAGCCGATGTTGCGCTCGATAAACTCGGCGCCAGACTTGAAACGCGGCGAGTATGATTTGGAGGAGGTATATGCGGACATAGACCCGTTGATCGCCGAGGAGATCAACGGATGGGTAGAGGTAAGCAGGGACAGGAGGGGTTCAGGCTGGGGCTTGGAGTCGGACGCAGGGGCGGAGGGGGCATTGGAGGGATTGTTTTGCGTAGAAGTTCGAGGGGATGGATGTCCGTAATCTGCAAAGCAATCAATGATCTTGTCAGCCTGCCATTGATGGATCTGTACACAGCCAAGAAGCGAGGAGAAATTACCCGAACGGAGGCCCTCGAGCGCCTGAGCTGCCTCGATATCATCCATGGAGAGAACACTGGTGGCCCGACGGGAGCGGTCCTCGGCCAGGGGACGGTTATCGACATCCATCATGAAGGATGGAACATGCTGAAACGAAGAGAAAGCGGTAGTAGGAGCGGAGAAGGGGGAGGAGGCGGATGAAGAGTGGGAGGAGGATGTTTGTGTGGTGGTGGTAGTAGTAGTAGTAGTAGTGGCGTCCCGGCCAGACAATACGGACGAAGATCCGGCTGGACGGTTTTCCATGAGAATAGCGTCGTTTGCTGGTATTATTTTTATGATTCCAATGGAAGACTGGGGTATCCTGGATTAGAAAATAGTCCTAGACAGGCCTACTTGGGTCCTCCGGAGTCGGTACTCCGTATCGAGTTTGCACCTAGCAGTCCAGCACAGTCACTACGACTATGTATGTCGAAGACTGAACTAGAGGAGGCGCCGTCCTGGATAGGTGATTGACGATCACCGAGACTCCTAATGGTTAATAATGATAGATAATGCCTAAGACAAGCGTGAGTGGGAAATGAGGATTCAGCGTGGGCGGCGATTGCGTCGAGTGATTGATCAGACTCAGAGATGGACTTTCACGTGAAAAGCGATGGAGGAAAATAGACGACGAGAAGAGTGGCCCAACGGAGCACTTCCGGTCAAGATTGGTATTTCAATGTTATCAGCTGGAAATTGGACCCGAATTTACTCTCTGTTATTATTACTCTACGGAGCAACTCTTGAATAACCCTGACACTTGACAATAATTGCTTCATTATGTAGATATTTGAAGAGTCCATGTAATCCAAAATAGGCTGAATGTGACGGGGAACACCCCCTCTCCACAATCTTCATTTCATGCATGATTCATGCTCATCAACCCCCGAAAATGGACCCCTTGACGACAGTCGCACTGTGATTGATGGATCAACTCCATCTACCTGCCCATCACATGCAGGTATTTTCGGGTATTGAACATTTGGACTATGTTTGCCTCTTTCCCAGCAATTTTGCTTCTGATCTCAACGATTCCCGTTTCTGGAAACTGCCGTGACATGTGATGGCGCAGGTCAATGCCGCCTGACCGCCTTCTGATGCACCCTGGCACGTGATTGTATTCCTCAAGGCGACGAGGCAACGAGGCAACGAGGCAACAAGGCATCAAACGTTTGGATTATGAGAGAATCCAAAATGTGTATACATATTTCCTAGACACTAGACAAAGTACATGACTGTAGTTGATCACTCCATAGAAATCCCATCCTCGGCGTCCTCATATGCACCAGGCATATGCATCCCATACAGCATCGCTTCCACAGCATCTTCCCCCTCATATTCGTCTCCATCATCGGACTCCTCGTCAACGGCATCCTTCGCCGTAAGCTGGCTGATCGCCTTGTGACTGACCCGGTAGCAAGCCAGGATTTCATTAGTCACCGACCGGGACGGCAAGTTGCTCGCCTTCATCTGGCAGAGAATCTCACCAAAGGCATGAATCGTGAAACTGGCATGGCTATGCTTCCGGTACGTGTACGAGGCCAACAGCTGGAGCCATTCATCCTTGCTATGTCGCCACATATGGATCATCGGATGGTCTCCAAGCGACGGGGGAGGGATTTTACGCGCTTCCTCGGCCGCCTCGCGCGCAATGGGCGAGAAGGAGTTCTCTCCCGAAATAGAGCTGATCCATTGGCTGTAGTATTTTTCAACCTCCCGCTGGGCATACTTGAGCGCAGCGCGGAGTTGCCCGCTTTCCCCTTGCTTCTCGATCTCTGCTTCCCGCTGGGCCTCGTTCCACGGACGGACGAGATCTTCATCCCGATCGTACAGGCTGTCGTCCTCCGGAAACGCTCGCTGCAGGTCTTCCAGCACTGCATGTCGCTCCCTACGGGCTACCTCGAATTTGAGGTAGTCGATGATGTTGGTTTTCTTGTGTTTACGTCCCGCGTTCTTGTACGCGGGCACCTCTCGAGCCTTGGGGCTGATCTTCTTCCGGTATTGCTGCCAGGCCTGCTCCGACAGGTGCACCCCTCCTTTGCGGCCGTCGACCAGATGGCTGAGCAGACAGGCCAGCTCCTTGGCTTTAGCCGAGTCAATCGACTCGTCGTATGATACCTTCTCATGCTCGACAGTGCATCGGCCCAGATTCGAGGTCGTCAGGTTGAAGGTAAAGGCACTCTGAAGAAACTCGTCCGTTGACTGTATCTCCCTCATGGGCACAGAATGTTTTGTGAGTCCAAAATGCTCCGGCGGGAACTCTTTCGTAGGCAGGTCGGAATTCTGAAAGTGCTGCATGATGTTCTGGTCCCAGCATATCCATGGTGTATCTCCATCGTAGTCGCCACCAGACAGCATATGTGCCAGTGGAATGTCACCCGTGGTGGGGAAGACGATGACATCCTTGAAGTGCCGAAGCTCCGGTTTCCACACGGCTCGTCGACGCTGGATATCGGAGGGTAGGTGAGCAGGGAGACGACCGACGAGAACGTCCATGCCGCCAAGGAGATTGTCCTCAAATTGCCCCTGGGCATCGCGCCAGTTGTTCGAAAACCCGAAATGCACCTCGTCCTCTTTCAGAACCCCGTACGGGTCTGCAATGCAGAAGGCATAGGTGGAAAGTGGGACTTCGATATGCAACTCATCCACATATCGGTCAAGCAAGTCCCTCATACATCTTCCCAGTCGCTTGCGTAGGGGGTAGAAACTCCGTGGAGCGAACCCAGCTTCGATAAGCCTGACGATGGCTTCCGCATCGTTAGCGGTCCACTGCTCCAGGCGTTTCATCCTCTGGCTCATCAGCGCGGAGCCATCATCTGCCACAGGCTTGATCTTCTGGATAAGGCTACGGCATAACACAGCGCTGTTGGACTCCAGCACGCTGGCAAAGTCTTGATAAACCGCCCTAATGCCAGCCCGGGTGAGCTTGGCAATGTACTCCCTGATCTGCCCACCATGCTCCAGAATGGCAAGCAACTGAATGTTCAGTTTCACCGGGTGCAACGGTTTGGACCATTTGACCACCTCAAACGTCAACTTCTCGTCATCGACCGGTTCACGCCAGGCTTGCGGATGCGGGTGGATCTTCAACTGGGAATCCGATATCTGAATCCAGAAACCATCATCCCCCACAGAAATGTCAGAGTGGTGCCGGTCCACCATCCACAGCCCTTTAGCACCCGCAATCCTCCCCTGGAAAGCACTAGGGGTGTTTCCAGTGATTCCCAACAGATCGCAGATTGCATTAGCTAAACCTCTAGACATGAGAGCGCAGCCATCGTTCATGACTGGACGGTTGGGTACATCTCTGAGTTGCAGGATCTGCCATGGCTTCAAGACAATTGTAGCATAAGTTTTGGACAGTCCTAGCGAGATCCGCTGAAACAGCTTGCAGTTGGACTGGTTCACATTGGCCTCCGGGGGCATGTGCCAGTCCATCAGCGCTTCCAGACTCATCGGTGTATGACTATCGCTCTCCTGGCCCTGAGGAGCAATAGATGGCACTGTGCCCAGGCTGTTCACAAAATCGATACCATCGATCGCAAAGAACTCCACCTTGAACCTTGGATCTGTGGTCTTGACTTTACGCTTTGTTTTGATCTCTTCCACGTAGAAGGGCCGCCATGTCCTCCCCAGGCATCGATGGACATGCTGGGTGAGCCACAGCGCTAGACTCTCGCGCAAAAGTGTTGGATGCGAGGGGAAGCGGAGATGGCGCGGTGGCCGCGCCGGCGCAGGCATCGTCAAGCTGAGGAATCGATCGGATCCAAAGCGTCGGCGGAACCGGCAGGTCCGCTCCGTCTTGAGCGGATTCAATCTGAATTTCAGGATCCCCGGTTCCGACTCACTGCACCAGTCCAAATCGCCTGTAAGGACCACGACCTCTGAGAGCTTATCCGTCTTGAATGAACCAGTAGCCGCTTCCCATGCTTTGCTGGTCGACTTTTCTGGAAGCGGCTTGCCACATCGCTGGTTATGGCCTTCAATCCACTTCCAAAACTCGCCATATGACTTGAAGGACATGTTGCTCCCCACCAGCATGCGGTCCAGAGGGACATCCCATGCTCTACCAACCCGTTCCAGCTCGTATCGATATCGCAGAGGAATCGACTTTGGAAATGGTTGCTCCAGTGAGAACGGTCCACTCTGCAGGAGATGTTCCATGATTCGTCCCTCAATTGAATGAGGGGCTTCTTCGAGAGGCATTTCAGTCATCATTCCTGTATCATTCATGGACATGTTCATCTCGTGGCTGATCATATGCCCCACGACTGAATCTTCATACATAGATTCAGAGTCGAACATGGGCTCAGTGGCGTCGGTAACCGTTGAGGTGAAGGAAGTCTCAAGCTGGCGCCGGGATTCACGGCCAAATGACGTGGCGGCAGTTGAGAAGGTAAAGTTCAGCCCTGCATGCGCACTAGGTGCCAGGTCGTATCGCCTAACATTGTCTGGAGCGGTAAGCTTCTCGAGAAATTGTGATGGCTCTTTTGCCCTGTCCACAGCGTTAGGAGTCTTGAAGACATGAACAGACTCGTTGACCATTAGCGAGGAACCGGTGTTCCAATTGTCTCTGCCATTAGCTGGGAACTCAAGCTCATCCTCATCCAAAGGGGAGTGATTATGGAAATTGGGATTCTTCACGGGTGAGTTGGGAGCGGTGTGGTACTCGTCCTCATCCTCCTCCTCTTCAGGAATTCTTCTCTTAAGGGGCCTGAACACCGTGCCTGGTGAGACTTGCATACGATCGTCATCTGCATAAACGCGGACCGAGCCCCTGCTCAGCAAGTATATCTCGTCGTCGACGAGCTTCAACAGATACGCAAGGCGCTCGGCCTTCTCATGCGTAGAAACGACCGTGGGATCTGCGACCATCAATCGCTCCCTCCTCGACACGGCTGGATGCCTCTGCGATATGCGGCCCACGCCATTGCGCGTATTCAAGTGCGAGGTTGAGCGAGAATGGACCCATTCCTCAAAGTCGTTCAAGATCCGGCCAAGGTCAACCTCGCGGTTGAAGTAGAGCCGTTTGAGGCCGTTATACGTGCGCCATCGAGGAGTCTGCTCGTTGCGGCCGACTGAGGGCGAATAGATTCGAGGATTGGGAATTTCAAGCTGGAATTGTTCGTTGAGGGTTTCGATCAATTGATATAGTTCTTGCCCGCTCTTGACAGGAGTGCGGGGGATGGCCATGTCTTTTTCCGATAGGAGGCAGCCACAGCTAAGGAATCCATCCAAGCTGATACGAGCTCGTCAACGGATAGATTTCGACGTGGTACCTTGATTGCTTTTATCGGCAGGGCAGGTGTCAATCAAATTCAGGCTTGCAGAGTGGTGAGGAAAGCGAATTATCGTCTCATACTCTGTATTCGAATGGACGAAACAAAGGATGGTACGATCCCGGTGGAATTGATCATCATCAAGAGGACAAGAAGGGACAGCCAACTCCTCAGTGTCCAGCAACTAAGATTGCTGGCTCTATGGGCAGAGAGTGCAAAAATATGTGGTCAGCTCGATCAATTCCAATCGAATGTGGGGGGGAGGAGGGGAACAAATAATAGATGGACGGACACATAGGTACCTACTAGATACTCAAGTAGCTTATACTCTTTTCGTATCGACAGCGGGTACCTTAGCAACCTTAAGAAGCTCACCTATCATTATCATCACTCAATTATCTGTGCCTTGGTTCATGCAGAAGAATAAAGAGAGTCGACAGTGTGATCATTCCCATGATTGACACGAGCAATCGGCCCGGCCCCTCTCTCCAGTCCCAGCAAATCATGTTCTCGGATACTGGCGCCTTCTGCTGCGGATCCATCACGAGATGTCAGAGATACGTGGTCGATTTTACTTTTTCTTATCTTCAGGGGTATCCTCTTTGGGACTTCTCTTTATGTACCATGATGTTGTTTCGAGTCCTCCTGGACCCTCGTGGTTGCCATGCATCCGTTGCCGTTGCTCGGTAAACAAACAGCGTGCTCCATCCGCCTACCGCCGAGCCAGATCGCTTGGTCTGAGTTACGTACCATCGAGGGAGAAAAGAGAGAACAAGAAAGTCATCATCAGGTATATAGTCGAAAAAACGTCGTTTAAAAATGTTCTAAGAATACCGAAAGTAACATGTTGCGCTTATGGTGATGCGAAAAAAACGACATCACAACAACCATGCTGCAACGAAACGATTCCACAACCAGTGGTTCTGCTCTGTCAACGCCCTGGCTTCCGATTTTGGAGTCTTTGGCTTTGCCTCGTGCCGCTCACGAATCGTTGTCACGGTCCAAAGATCAACCTCCGCGGGGTTAATGCTCTTGCATCGGGTCACGACCTTGTATCCAATGACAAGGAACAGATAGAGAGGAACAGCGATATAAGATGTAATAAAAGTCATATAGTCGAATGCTTCTGGGTGAGTGGCTAGCTGTGCGACATCAACGCCTCTCATCAGTGAAAGGATAAGGCAGCTCAACAGAGCGACCCAAGACCCGTAAGCGCCGAAGGGAGCTCTGAAGACCAGTGCCGATTCAGGAACTTTTTGAGCCTTGCGCGCGCGCACAAATGAGATATGTGTGGTCAGAATTGATATCCAAGTGAGAAGGCTGAACATGGTGATGATGTTGACAAAGTACCCAAAAAGGACCCTGGAGTCGTTGGAGATGTTCAGATATGCCAATGATGCTAGAATTGCGCATGTGCCCAAGGAATAGACAGGGATACCCCTACGGTCAGTTTTTGACAAGAAGGCGGGGGCTTTTTGTTCCTGAGATAGCCCATAGATGGTCCGGGTCGCCATATGAAGGGCTTGGTTAGCAGCTGACAGAACAAACAGCAAAGAACATGCATTTAGAATGCTTGGAAGGGCGGGTATATGGGCCATCCTGATTGCCACAACAAAGGCCGAGACCGTCGTTGGCTTGGAGGCGTTGCTTGCAAAGGCCAAGTCTTGGGAGTCGTATGGAATGAGCATACCGAGCAGCGTTACGCTGACAATGTTGAAAATCAAGACTCGATAGAACGTGAGCTTGATGGCGCGCGCTGCAGCCTTTGGTGTGTTCTCGGATTGCAGCATGGCCATCCCAAGGAGCTCACTACCCAAGTACGCGAATATAGTGGAGGGCATCGTCTTACAAACGGCGAGCAGCTTTCCCACCAGTACATGATCACCGTAGGGCGCAAAGGCGCCTGGGTCTCTCCAGTATCTGAAACCCCTTCTATCACGATCCGGCCCGCCCCCGAGTGCAATGACCAGAGACAGCACCGTAAGCGCAAACAAGACCAGGATTTTGAAAGATGACAGCGCGAACTCGTATGGGCCGATGAAGTGAGCGCCCCAGTAGTTCGCAGAGACGATGACTGCCAGAAATGTCGTTATCCAGATTCCGGGGTTGACATACTTTGCATCGAGCCAATATGAAATCACAAGCGCCGCCGCAGTCAATTGGTTGGGAGTAACAACCAAATATTTGAGCCAGTAGCTGTTCGAAAGACTGTATCAGCATCCCAGTTCAACATAGACTGATCATGAGCAGAAGTCTTACATCCAACCCAACGTAAAGCCAAGAGCAGGGTCACAGAACCGAACAGCATGACCCGCAGCCGTCGATGGCTCAGGAAACCAAGCAGCAACCTCTCCCAGCGCACACAGGATCAAGAAAACAACTATACCCACAACTGTGTACGAGATTACAATCGCGGCAGGCTTGACGAGTCAGCATTGTGAAACTTTTATCATCCCGCCTGAGACGAACACTAACCCCGGCCCTGGGACAGTGTTAACTGCAGCTCATGGGCGATCTATGTTGGCTGTGTCTTACTTTGAAAGTGCATTTCCGGCTCCAATCATCAATCCGGTGTTGATAGCTCCGCCGATCGCTAGAGGTCTGTGAGCAAGGGCTTCAAAGTCTTGTGTGCTGCTTGAGAAAGACAAACCGATCATTGTAGTTTGGCGTGGTAACAGGACTCCAAAGGGTTGCACCCTCGTTGAGTCCGAGTCACTTGGTGTCGCTTCATTGTGACTTCGGATTCGGTTGCAGATCGAGCGTTGCGCATTATCCTGAGACATGTCTGGCTGGCATCCTTCATTTGGCCCTGTCTGGTCTCAATGAGAACTAGAGAATAGCGAGAAATACGTAATGATAGCATATTTGGGAGAACTGAGAGCGTTAGTCTGAGTTCCCAAGGGTCGAAGGCGAACAGAACTAAAATAGAAATGGAAGGGACGATGGACACTGCGTTTTCCAGCGTCGATGCTTTGCGAATGAATTTCAGCAGCCAGCTTTGATACTGCGGTTGCATAGAGCTTGGGGACTTTGTAGTTACTATTCCATTGTGGAACGTTGAAAATGAATTTTTCGGAAGCATTTTTCTTTGATAAGGGCACCAGACCGAAAGAATCTAGGAGTCTGCTGGAGGGTTATAGATGCTTGACCTTCAAAAACAGTTTTATGATTTGCTGGGCCTGGATATGAAGTAGAGGTGGTGGTATCAATGATCTGTTTCCTGACTTCCCCTATAGCCAGCGTCTAGGATAGAAAGGGGACAAAAGAAGCATAAAGACATCAAACGCCAGCACAGTCTAAATACCGAGGGGTGAATCGCAGAGGAGAAACAATGAGGCGAGTCTCAAGACCAGAGCAAAGCCAGTCTGCCCCGGACGACGAAAATTCGTAAATACATGGAACTTGGCACGACTCACTGGGCACGTCTAGCGTCGCCTTCTGTCGCTGCCGATACCTGTTCAAAACGAAAAGGACCCCTTATCTGCTCATGTATAGCGAATCGCTCGACTCAGCTCTGGGGAAGATCCGAGTGTACAGCGAGTCACTAGACTCTGTCCGTGGGAATTCCCGTTGCTGGGCTCTTGAGATAGTACGATCTGTGTAGATACCCTTCGCAGTGCCTCTGACGACCGTCTCGAGATATTGCCGGAAGTCGGTTGGTCTGAAATCGGGGTAGAGCTCCTTTGCGTCCAGGTAGCCCAGATACTTCGCGTATTCCGGGTTGTTGTCACCGCGAATACCCCAGGACAATTGGTATTCGGCGAGGTATCGAGGAATGAACTTCACCGGGTCGAAGGGATAGGTCTCGCTAGACTGGCGGGCCGCAAGAACTCGAGTGTAGACGGTCTCTTCCGGGATCTGTCGGAACAATGTGTTACTTAGGATTTCTGTGCAAGATGGTCAGCGACACCTACATAGTTCCTTTGAACCTTCTCCTCGCTGATCTCTTCGAGCATATCGTAAATCTGGTTCTGGGTCAGGACTGTGTCGTACGCGAACACCATCCTGTTCAATGTCCGATCATCCACGATAATTCTGGCGATGTAGCGTCCGATATCTCTCAGGTCCGTCAAGGCAGTGCGGGTGTTGCCGTCCCCAACAATCTCGTTGTTTGCCGTGGTCATGGCATAGTCTGCTCGTCCGGACTCGAGTCTAGGGTACGAAAGCTGGTACCACCAGCCAACATCGACAATGGTGTATGGAAGCCAGAGTTGTTTGATGTGATTGTAAACGGTCTCTTTCTGGAGAGTAGAAATCGCCACGTCAATACCTCTTTTTAAAAAAAGCAGTCAGGATGGTTCAGCTTACCTCATCTCTCAACCACATGATGCCGCCGGGCGGAGCCACTGTGATAAAACCGCATGGTACAAATCGCTTGACTCCAGCCTTCTTGGCAGCCTTTGCAAGAGGAATCTGGTCTTGTTGTTCGGCGGGACCGACACAGCTGATGACAATATCGATATCTGTAAGCGCTTCGGCGAGCGACTCCTCTGAGCCTCTCAGATCGCATCTGCGCACTTGGACACCTCGTTCTTGCAAGGAAACAATGGCAGGTTTTTGGACCGATCGGGGACGAACAAGCGCATAGACTTCCTGCAAGCGAGATATTGCAGTTAGAAGACGTTGCCATTTTTTCCTGGGAAGAATCCACCAAGCGGAAAACTCACAAAGATTGGGTTCTCAAGGAGCCCGTTTGCGATTGAGCCGCCCGTCTCACCGGCTGCTCCAACCAGCAAAACTCTCGTTCGCGACATGATCGAAAGGCTTGTAGTTGCTTGGAGTTTCGTGCCAACGGAGTGTTTTGGAGAATTTGCGGCAAAGCAAGTGGAATTTTGGAAGGGTTTAAAACATGAAAACAGGACGAAGTGAGGTAAAGAGTTTCCAACAGCAGGAGATCGAGGATCAGTCGACGTTATAAAATGCCAGCGTCCCACCCAAGGATGACCACTACCCACAATTTCCAACCCAGAGTGGCCAGTAGTGGGTCAAAGGTGGATATGCAATTCCCAAAGAGGAGCGCTGTGTGGATATGCGTTGTCTAAGGGAGAATTCAGTGATTCAGCCTGCTGCAATGAGGCAATCCGATCAACAACATCCCATTTGGTAGGATTCGCAATGAATTTGATGTTTGAATTCTATCTAGAAGTCTTCAAAGATGTATGGCTATGGATTTTAATCCTTTGACGGTGCTCGGAAGGCCGGATCTTTGAGGCGTTTCGACTTTCTTCACTCCCACGGGCCGGTGGCTCGGGACTGGAACCTAAATGGACCCTACGTCATTTTTCACACACGGCTTCCCGGACATTGGCAGAGTAACTATCACTGGAGATCCATCATTCAGAGTCTTTATTCAACTTGGTGACAGTTTGATGGGGTCGCTGTTTCAATCGTCTCTATCTACCGCCTCTTAGCCTATCCGCTTGGTAACTGGTCGTATCATCTGATCGCACAAGCATGGTGGTTGGTTTGCCAGCTATTTACCGTGTAACAACAGGGCGAACTCGCCTTGCCTTCCTGAATACCTATGCACATCATGGTAATCAGACATGACTGTTGCAAATGATAATGCGGGGAAAACCCCATCCAGCCCCTCTCTTTTCATTAATATTGCATGCAATCTGCGACTTGTTCTTGTTGGTGTTGTTTTGTGTGGTAATCGCTCACTAATTCTTTGGTTCATGACTAACCCCCACGTCACAGATCTTCGGATCTGCATGGCGTCTTTTCAGCAGTAGCCAAGGACATTGTCCTCGCAACCTTGGCTGGGTGACGACATATGACTATGTTACCTTGGTAGTACATCATTGGTTCATCATCAACCTGCAATAATGGACTTTACACTCAAGTCCCGTGGTTATCATGAACCGGTGCCTTTCAAGGCAGATACAACCCCAAAAATGGTTAGAGGCAGTGAGTACGGAGAAGGTTACTCCGTACTCTCCGAGCACAGAACGAGGGTCAACCGATTAGGCTATCTTGTGATACTAATCCCTTCAGTCAATGAGAACGTTCAGATCATCCTGATCACCGCGGTTTAGCCGCTTTCCCCGCGCTATCCTCTGACGGTCCAAAATATGATATGACTTGATGTCTTGAAACAGCTCTTTCCAAACAATCGTTTCAAATGAAACGTCGTCTTTCCATTCGTCGGACAGTTTCAACCACAGAGGCCAGGACCCCATGGATTAAGCAAGGCCTGGGGGCTCGAAACCAGTTGGGGCCCTGAAAGTCGGAGAAATAGCTGGCAGTGGTAGTGGCAGTGGCAGTGGTCGATATTCAACGCGGGGCACTTGACCTCCCCTATGTTTCCCAGCCTGTCACTGCCTCGCTACCCAATAAGAACTGCGTGAAAGGACCATTGTCTTTCTCCAGCACGATAATCATCGGCCTACCATGTAGTCTATCCCGCAATCACTTGGTGACATACTCATGGGAATCACATGCACAGTAGCAAGAAAGTGCTTCCAAAGAATGCTCTCCGAGATTTGAGTGCGTCCTTCATGGAAAATGGAAGGCTGACAATCATGCTCAATGAGGACTACGGCGCCCTACGAGGAGAAGCGCAATTGGCCAGCGACTAAGACTTACAGTTAGGTAGGTACCTACTTACTGGGTGATTTTCCCAAGTTCAGATTCTGCTGGCCAATAGCCTGCCTGATTCACAGTTTTATACGAAGATAGACTAAAGCTACCTAGATAATACACCGTGGGCTAACTGCTGCTTAAGCGTGCCAAGCGAACGGCGCCACAGTCGCGGTTGACATCGTCATTTGCGAGTCTTCAGACATCAAGGAGACGGTGCATGTGAGAAGCGGGGAAATATTGAGTAAAAAGGAGAGAAGACTCCGTGGCTTTTTCCTTGCAGTTATCTACACCCGCCAATGACGGAACTCCACGCTCTGCGCAAAGAGTCCTGTTCCCCCCAAGAGTGCAACCGAATACCTCTTACTTGCTTTAGTTTCTACTGACAATTCCAAGTTTCTGGCGGTATGAGTCGAATTATACCTAAAGCGTCCAGCATTGAGCAAATCTGCGAGACGGCTCTATTGGCCACGAACAAACTAGATAAGATGTGGATGATCATTTAAGGGAGACGACACTATAGTTCAAACCATATTAGGCCGTGGGCGATGGCGATGTGGCCGACACTCAGGACGATGCGGAGAATGCTTCTACTGCCGTCGCGGACGCGAGCTCTTTTGTGAGAACTTCATCGCTCATGGTATGATGGTCCAACAGGGCTTGTTCTAGCTCAGCTACTGCGTCAAAATAGGGCATGCCATGTTGTTGTCGCCGCACCGGAAGTAGTCAAGATGCAACTCGCTCAATGCTGCTGATGTACATATCGGTCTTCCGCGGTCAGGCCTCTGCGTCTGCCATATTGGACAAGCTGCACAATGACAATTCATACGAATTCGTTTTTGTGGTTGAGGCGACTGGAGATGCTAAATTCCTCGAGGGCTCGACCAACCTTGTCAGAAAGGGTGGCAAGCTGGTAGTTTATGGCGTCTGCAACGACAATGATCGTACCTCTTTATCGCCCAAGAAGATATTCATTGATGAAATCAGCGTCCAAGATCACTTAGGGATATGAACAAGTTTCCTGCTGCGATTGAATATCTTGGTGGGTAGTAGCAACCCGCCTTTTGTATCTGAATCACGAAGCTAACTATACCTATGCAAGGAACCGGCAAGGTTGGTGTGAGTGGCTTTGTGAACAAGACATTCCGGGTGGGGGAGTGGAAGCAATGCCTCGAGGCAATGAGGACAAAAAGCGTGATCAAGGCAGCCATAGTATTCGATTAGGTATTCGTCGCTTACAAAATGGTATCCGATGTGATATCAATCAAAAACAACAAGTTTTGCAGAGGTCTATTGGAATCAGAAACACTACACCCCTCAAACCCGAAACCCAGCAGATGGAAAAGGTGGAGAGAAGTCCCCCACTTCGGAGGTGTGCAGGAGTAAGTCCAAGTTGATCAACGTCGTGCTGTTGAGCCTGTCGACCTATGAACTTGTATGAAGATGGATGAAAGGAGGGAAAATGGTTTTATCATCGTTTCACTCCACTAGATGCTGTAGATGTTGACGACCATTGAAACATGGTTCTCATCTGACCAAGATTTGCTGGTCCAGAATGAGACGCGAATCTTCAAGTCAAATGGAGATGGGCCCTTATGCCTTGTAAACTACATCTCTCAGCAGCTCACTCAACGAATGCAAATACCTGTATGATTAAGTTGAGAGGCTGTATGGAAACAGGAGAAAGATGAATGATGAGAGAATGCTCATTGTATTGATGATGCTATCTAGGAAGCTATTAAGAGAGTAGAAGAATATAGAGGTAGTGTAGTGAATCATATTATACTATAACGTAATCCACAAGCGAGCGGGCCACCCAAGCGAGCGGGCCACCTCACGCGTTTCAGACGCGGTCACAATACTCAACCAATTCAAACCACCACCATGTCTCCAAAACAACATCAAAAATCAAAA